GAGTTACATCACCATTATTGTGTTTCTATATTTACTATGAAATTGTTTTATGAATTAAAGGTCAGTCTCTGCTTGTAGAATTAGAAACTGACCAAGTCCCAACAGAGGACCAAAGCAGGATTAATAATGACATGTCATAATATTCAACCGTAGTAATATCTCCGAGCAAAACTTTATCATCAACATTTCTTTGTGGAGCCCACAAGCTGTGTCAGTCGTTTTCTGCTTTCCCTACTGACCTTTTGGGAAATTTTCTCCCACTGATGGAATTGTCATTCTGTCACAGGAAAAGACAACAGAGTAATGGAAAATGGTGACTGGCAAAAGCAAGGGCTCAGGCCGGCCTGTCGAGGGAGGTTCTACTAAATTTCTCCTCCTGATTTAAAGGAATGTGAGTGAAACTTAAGAATTTGAAGTTTCTTAAGCACATCTCAAAACTATTTGACTAGACATTCAAAATAACTGAATACAGTAAATGTATAGTTTTAAATATTATAGTTCATCAGTTCTTTTTATATGTTGGTTTTTTTAAATTAATTTCAGAGAGAGGAAGGGAGAGGGAGAGAGAGAAATAGAAACATCAATGATGAGAGAGTCATTAATTGGTTGCCTCCTGCACGCCCCCTACTGGGATCAAGCCACAACCCTGGTATGTGCCCTGACTGGGAATCCAATGGTGACCTCCTGGTTCATGGGTCAACTCTCAACCACTGAGCCACACCGCTGGGCTCATCAATTCTTTTTCAAAACACAGCATAAAAAACATTGTACCCTTAAATTCCTTATTTTTGTAATTGTGTTTACTAGGTATGCATTTTAAAAAAATAGTTTATGTTGGCCAAGGGATGCCTGGTGTTCTTTTCAGAATGTTTCAGGACACTGTCTGCCCAGGAGAACTCTGAGTGTGACTCCTGATAACAATGTGGTGGGGTGGGCAGCCCATTCCATTGGTAGCTGCTCAAATTATGAGAAGGATTTTCCTCATTGTGAATCCGTATTTGTTTTCCTTTGGTGCCTATTGTTTTGTCTTTATCTGTTAACTTCTACAGCTCTCTTCTTGCCCTTTTAAGCCAGAGGTACCTTGATCTTTACCTGATCATGCTGGAGTAATTGTTTATAAAATATATTCCCTTTCAAAGTTCCATTAGATGTCATTAGATGAGCTAAGGCTTGTAATTATAATAACCGCAGCACCTGACAACTAATAGCATTCACTAAGTATATGTTGCATTTTTTTGTTTTTAAAATATCAATCTGGTGCACAGGAAAGCACAGGGGCTTTGAAATCAAAGATGCCTAGTTCTATTGCAGTTCAAGTATTAACTGGCTCTGGGATCTCAGGCTATATTTTTCACCTTTCTCACTCTCTGTATTCTCAGTATCATTTAAAAAAAATAAATCTCATTTTACAAAGTGGTGTTGAGGATTATCTGTGCCAGTATCCATAAAGTACCTAGCACAGTTCCTAGCACACAATAGATGCTCAGTAAATATTAGTCTCCACACACATCTTATCCTTCTCAACCCCACTTCCCTTGTAATCCAGAAGAGCAGTGTAAACAGAAAAATAGGAGCCTTGGCTTCCAGCTTTGTCCTTTCTACTGCCACGACCTTGGACAAATCACTTTACCTCCTTGTATGTTTGCCTATCAAATGGTCTCACGTCTACTACAAAGGTTTGTTGTAAGAATCAAATAAATATTGGATTGGTAATAACTTTCAAATATCATATGTGTTTTCTTTATGTAAGGTATTGTAATTGCTGGTAGTAATTTATTAGTGAATAATTGCTGACTGACTGACTGAATGAATGAATGATCTATTCCCCCACTCCTCCCTCCCCACACTGGAGCAGGGAGGAAAAACCCAGCAAACTTAATATTGAAAACTGGTTCACACATGTTTATGGAAATATGCACATATGGGAACATTTGCCCAATCAGTACAAATCCAGGCAAAAACTCTCACATGAACATCTGGCAGAAGAGCCATTGACTACAAAGGTTCAGAATCCCAGAATTACAGTTGTCAATGACTGACACTCTTCCTTTAATTTCTTCCAGGAATTTCTATTACATCACAATGTTGCGTGATCCAGTGTCCCGTTACCTGAGCGAGTGGAAACATGTCCAGAGAGGGGCCACATGGAAAACCTCCCTCCACATGTGTGATGGGAGAAGCCCCACCCCCGATGAGCTGCCTACCTGCTACCCCGGGGACGACTGGTCTGGGGTTAGCTTGCGGGAGTTCATGGACTGCACCTACAACCTGGCTAACAACCGCCAGGTGCGCATGCTGGCTGACCTCAGCCTGGTGGGCTGCTACAACTTGACTTTCATGAACGAGAGCGAGAGAAACACCATCCTGCTGCAGAGCGCGAAAACCAACCTGAAGAACATGGCCTTCTTTGGGCTCACAGAATTCCAGAGGAAGACACAGTTCCTCTTCGAGAGGACATTCAACCTCAAGTTCATCTCTCCCTTCACACAGTTCAACATCACGCGGGCTTCCAACGTGGAGATCAATGAGGGTGCTCGCCAGCGCATCGAGGAGCTCAACTTTCTGGACATGCAGCTTTATGAGTACGCGAAAGATCTCTTCCAGCAGCGCTACCACCACACCAAGCAGCTGGAGCACCAGAGGGACCGGCAAAAGAGGAGGGAGGAGCGGAGGCTGCAGCGGGAGTATAGGGGCCACAGGTGGCCCAAAGAGGATGGGAACACAGAGGGGGCGGTCACGGAGGACTACAACAGCCAGGTGGTGAGGTGGTGACCCCCTGCCCTCTCTTCCCTCTGGAGGGGGGGTGAGCAGGCACACTGGCCTTCTGTGGCGTTACCTTGGAGACTGTTGGGCCGTTCTGAGGACATCTGGCTGTATGTGGCTTGAGTTGGACGCCTGCTCCCTCTTTGTCTTCATCTTTATCCAGCTGGAGATGATAGGCCTTGTTCTTTACTTGCTGACATTTTCTAATCTGTGATATTAAGTAGGGTAGGAATGCATCCAGTATAGACCATTTCAGAAGGTCAAGGAGAGAAGCACCGAAAAGGAAGCAGTCCTTGCAATCTCCTTGGCAGCAACACAGGTTATCGTCCGGGTGACTGGAACCCACAGAGGCAGACATGAAAAGCCAAACTGTGGCTTGGATGTTCTGCTGAAACTGGTGTGTTTCATGCTGTCTCTGTAATGGAAATATTGATCTGTTTAAAGAGAGAGAGAAAAAGAAGTCCCTTTCAGCCCTTTGATGAGGTTTTAGGCCAACCTCCCTTTGCTGTTGGCTGTCACCTTTGAACTCTATTTGAATGTGGTTTAAATCAGAAGAGTGATGTGTTTTGTTGCAGTCTTTTAAAACAAGATTATCCTACTATTGACCATCACTAGAGACCCACAATCTACGAAGCCCTGCATCCCAGCCCTGAGCCATGTTTCCTTCCCCACTTTTTAAGGGAACTGCAAGAGGATTCAGGACAGGGTGCCCATGGCCCCTGAGAAATGAACATTGGTAGGGGCATTTAGGAGAAAACGTGCTTACTAACTAATGCCTAAGGAGATCACTCTTTACCAAGTTTTATTTTTGATGTAAGGAATGAATGAATAAG